ACACTTTTGGAAACGGCCCACCCTCAGTAAAGGTCAAGCTTCACGTCTGGGGGTGCGACAGGGAGGAGTTCTGTAGATGGTAAAAGGGATGGAGGAGGAGCAGCAGGAAGAAAAGGAGGAGGAGGAGGAGGAGGAGGAGGAGGAGGAGGAGGAGGAGAGAGCGGGAAGGAGATGGGTGAGACGGAGAGGGGGGAGGTGGGGAAGGACCGGGGGGGGCGGGGGAGGGGGCAATCGAGGGAGGGGGGAGGAGAGGAGTATGAGGGGGAGAGGAGGGAGGAGGGAGGAGGGAGGATGAAAGGGAAACCTCGGCGAGGGGCAGGGGAGAGGAGGAGTGGGGGAGGGCAGCATCGAAGCAGGGGAGGGGGGAACGAGGGAGCTGGACGAGGAGGCCGGGGGGCGGGAGGAGATGGCGCTGCTCGAGCGCAAGAGGGCACTGGGCGGCAGCGGAGCCGTGTTGGAGGCGGGCCCGAGCGTGGCCGCCACGAGCCCCACTGCCCCCAGCAGCGAGGTCGAGGCGGGCGCCGCCGCAGAGGCCGCTGCCCATCCCTCCTTCCTCCCTCCTCACCATCCGTCCTCGTCGTCCCTCTCCTCCCTCTTCCGCCCTTCCCGCCCCACCTCGTCGTTCCTCCCCCCCCCTTCCCCGCACTACCACTCCCCCCGTCCCTCCCTCCATCCCTCGTCCTTACCCTCCACTCCACTTCCCTCCATCCCTCCCCTTTCTCCTCCCTCCTCCTCCTCCTCCTCCTTTTCCTCCTCCTCCCTTTTCCTCCCTCCTCCTCCTCCTCCTCCTCCTCCTCCTCCTCCTCCTCCTCTCCTCCTCCTCATCATCATCATCATCATCATCATCATCATCCTCATCATCCTCATCATCCTGATCCTCATCCTCATCCTCCTCCTCCTCCTCCTCCTTCTCCTCCTCCTCCTCCTCCTCCCTCCTCCCCCGCTCCCCCTCCTCCTCCTCATGTTCCCTCCTCCTCCTCCTCCTCCTCTCCTCCTCCTCCCCTCCTCCTCCTCCTCCTCCTCTCCTCCTCCTCCTCCTCCTCCTCCTCTCCTCCTCCCCTCCTCCTCCCTTCTCTTCTTCCCTTCTCTTCCCTCTCTCCTCCTCCTCCTTCTCCTTTCCTCCTCCTCCTCCTCCTGCTCCTCCTCCTCCTGCTCCTCCTCCTCCTCCTCCTCCCCTTCCTGATAATCCTCCTCTTCCTCATCCTCTTACTCCTACTCCTCCTGATCCTCGTCCTCGTTATCGTCCTCCTCCTCATTCGCCTCCTCCTCCTCCTCCTCCTCGTCCGCCTCCTCCTCCTCCTCCTCAGCTCCTCCTCCGCCTGAGCCTCTCCTCATCCTCATCATTATCCTCCTCCTCCGCCGCCTCCTCATTATCATCAGCAGCATCATCATCAGCAGCAGCATCATTATCAGATTCTTCATGATCCTCATCACCATCATCAGCAGCAGCAACCTCATCACCAGCAGCAGAATGAGCATCATCATCATCAGCAGCAGCAGCATCATCCTCATCAGCATCATCGTCATCATCAGCAGCATCAGCATCATAAACACCAGCAGCAGCATCAGCATCAACATCAGCATCGCCAGCATCATCACCAGCACCTTTTTCCCGCATCATCATCACCATCATCATCATCAGAATCAGCATCATCATCATCATCATCATCATCATCATCATCATCATCATCATCATCATCATCATCATCATCATCATCATCATCATCATAATCTACATCAGCATCATCATCATCCTCAGCAGCGGCATCTGCATCGGCATGATCATCATCATCGTCGTCATCCTCAACATCAGTATCGTCATCATCAGCATCAGCATCAGCGTCAGCATCATCCATATCATCACCAGCATATTAATTATCCTCATCCTAATCATCATCATCAGCAGCAGCAGCATCATCATCATGATCATCATCATCAGCAGCAGCGTCGTCGTCTGCGTCGTCGGCGTCGTCGTCGTCATCATCAGCAGTAGCATGATCATCGTCATCATCGGTATCATCGGCGGCAGCAGCAGCAGCAACAGCCGCGTCAGCAGCAGCAGCAGCATCAGCATCATCATCGTCAGCAGCATCACAGTCAATATCAGCCTCATCGTCAGCAGCGGCAGCACGAGCATCACGCAACCCGACGGCCACGCGCTGCATACACCCGCGGAAGGCCAGCGCGCCTGGCCACAGGGGGGCCGAGCGCTGGAAGGACACGTTGCCTCGGCGGCGGAAGGAATGCCTGCACTTGGTGTGAGGAGGGAGCTTGGGGCGAATGGGTGGTATCGCAGCAGCCAGAGGTGTTCTGTATTGTGACGGCGGTGTGGCCGGTGCCGCCGACCCTGGAAGACGGCCCCGTTTATGTTGAAGGTGACAGCCGGAGATGTTCGGGAAGGATAGGACCAGACGGCCGGAAGAGTTCCCCTGAAGCCCTGTGTGGTTCCCAAAAAGCGTATCAGGAGGAGTACAGCTTGGCCAAGCTACTTGCCGATGTGGTTTTGCAGAAGAGGGTGTGAATCAGGAGAGGGAGGAGGAGCAAAAAGATGAGGAGTGGGAGTAGCAGAAGAAGGAGGAGGAGGAGGAGGAGGAGAACGATGAGGTGTTCTGTATTGCGAAGGCCTTACGGCCCGTGCCGCCGACCTTGAAGACGGCGACGACGAGGACGACGAGGATGTTGAGGAGCAGGTGGCGGAGGACGCTAGGGAGCAGGAGGGGGGAGGAGGAGGAAGAGGAGATACGAGGGGGAAGAGGAGGTGCGAGGGGGGCGAGAGGGACGAGGAGGGAAAGACGAGGAGGGGGGGAGAGCAGGGGGCAGAGCGAGGCGAGCAGGGACGTAGTTGCAGGAGAAGGACGGCTGACAAGGAGGAGGGGCAGCGGTGGGTAGAGCGTGGCGAGCATGAGCAGCAGGAGGTTGAGGAGGAAACTAATGACGAGGATGTTGATGATGATGACGACGACGCGGATGATGTCGGTGATGACGACGACGATGATGTCGTTGAGGGAGGGGGGAGTGTAGCGCCGGCGGCAGGAGAAGTCGAAGGAGGAGTAGGAACGTGAGGATGATGTTAATGAGGGGGGAGAGGAAAGGGATGAACAGGAGGAGCCCGAGGCCGAGGAGGAGCGGGAGTAGGAGGCGGAGGAGGAGGAGGGCAAGAATGGGGAGGCTCACGAGGTTGAGAAAAACAAGTGCACACATACTCTTGTCCGGGGTGGTTCCCCGGAAAGTCTGATGGGGGACGTGGACGACGTGACGACGACGACGACGACGACGACGGCGACCACGACGACGACGATGACGACTACGACGCTCACGACGACGATGGACGACCAACTGTTTTGTGGGCAGCGCGTCCGTGGCCGAAAGAGGAAAAGGAGGGTCAGGAGAGGGAGGGAAACGGGAGTGGCGGACGTCCCCAGAACCAACATTTGAAGCGAGCCCTCGGGGTGTCTCCGAACCGTCTTCGTGCTCCCTTGGGTTGTTCCAGCGTTGGCTTCCAAGCCACGTTGGGCGTCTTCGAGGTTTCTGGGGTCGTGAGCGTCTGTGGGGTTTCTGTGCCCGTCGTGCTTCTTTCTGCTTTCCTGGAAGATCTGTTGGATTTTTGGGGGCCGCCTTGGGGTGTTTGGAGTGTTTCTGCCCAGGGCATGTGTGGGCCGTCTTGGAGGCCAATTTGGATCGTCTCGGGCGAACTTCGGGCACTTTGCCTCTCGGAGTCTCTTGGGATGTCTCTCGGTGGCTTCCTTGGAGGCCTCTTTGGGCGTACCTGTGTTTCCCTGGAGTCGGGATTTTTGTGTGAAGTCGTCTTGGGGTCTCCTGGGTGTGGGTGTTCTCTGGGGAGGTCTTTGGGGGCCGCTTTGGAGGCTCGTGGGAGCCTCTTGAGGCTACCGGGGGGGTCTTTGGGAGGTTTCTTGGGGCTTCTCGGGGTGCTTCTGAGGGGCCTCCAGGGGTTTCCCGAGAGCATCTGAGGCCAAGGGCTCGAAATGTTCGTTCGGGTCCCCCGTCTGGGCTCCTCCGTGGAGCCGTCTTGGGGGCCTCTTCGGTTGTCTTGGAGGAGTCTTGGTCGGTCTTGAGGCCTTCGTGGGTCGTTGTGGAACTCTCTTGAAGGCCTCTTGGGCCATCTTGGGGCGGTTCTGGGGGCTTCTTGGCCGGTCTTGGATCGTCGGGAAGGTGACAAGGTAACAACGCCGAAATCTTTGTAAAACGTATTGAAAATCGCTGATGCTAGCCCCTGGAGGCCTTTTTGGAAGTCCTCTTGGAGGCTTCTTGGGGCGTTGTGGGAACCTTTTGTGCCCTCTGGAGGTTACCTTGGCACACTGTACCGATACGCAATCGATCTGGAACCCTCGAAGATCGTCTTGAGGACATCCTGGAGCACTGTTGCCGCGTCCTGCGGCTTTTCTCGGCCGCCAAACCGCCCGAGGGGGAGTCGTATCTGCCCCGGGACCCCTCCCCCGGGACCCCCCCGGGGACGCCACCCCCCGGACCCCCCCCCCCCCCCTGGCGGGGAAGGGATCAAAGGGAAGGGGCTTCCCTTCGACTCAAGTACAACGTGCAGGTTCTGAATTTGCACTGGCCCTCCTCGCCGTCGTTCTCCGCACTCTGCAGCTCCCTCCTTCGCCTAGCCATGGTTATTACATCTCGCCTTCCTGCGCCTGCCGCTCCGTGCCATCCTCTTCATGGATGTCCCCTCTTCTTCTCCCTCGAACTGCTAAGAAGTAGCCTCCTCCTCCCTCTCCCTGACGTCCTCCCACGCAGCATCTTCCCCGTCTGCCTCCCCCATTCCCAGTCCAAACCCCTCCACTCTTCCACTCTACCTCGTCCTCTGCCTCCTCCTCCTCCTCATCCTCCTCCTCAACCTGATCCTCATCCTCCCCGCCCTACGCCTACATCTCATCATCGTCGCGGCTGGGGATGTCGACACCCCTAGCGCATGGGGGCCGCGGGACAAACCCCACACACACACACACACACACACACACACACACACACACACACACACACACACACACACACACACACGCGCACACGCGCACACACACACACTTTTGAGCCAGCGGCGCAGAGGAACCTCAGGCACGGTCCACGGATGGAGGCGTGAATTGCGACCGAATGTTGTCGGAGCGCGCACTCAGGGATACGTTTACCACAGCAGTGCAGAAGGGATGGTGAAAGGAGAAAGAAGGTACCGTAGATAGCAGAGAGTGGGTAGTGTAGTGACCTGACCTGCCCCACAATTGCAGAGAATGGGTGGTGTAGCGATGGGACTGTACACCCAAAAGCGTGCAGCGGCCAGAACCCGAGGAGTACGCAGAGCGAGCTCGACTCAAATGAACTGAAGCGCGGGCAGTCTGGTGCAAACTGAGGCCAAACCTCACCAGCACATGATGACCCAAGAAGCGTTCAGGGCCAGAACCCGAGGAGCGCGATAGCTCGACTCATGGCAGCCTGAGAGTCTGTACAAATTACAACCTGGAAAGCTGCCAGACCAGCCGATTGGTAGGGTAGCGCTGAGAGCTATGACTGGCGAGACGATAAGCAGGGTTTTCCTCACGAACCGGCGACACAAGATACAGCATTGGTGGGGTGCAAGATTTGCAGCCGCGGCAGCACCACAAACGCGGACCCGACGCTAAGGCAGCATAGACACCAACACACACGCACACACACACACACACGCACACACACACGCACACGCACACGCACACCCACACCCACACCCACACACACACACACACACACAACACACACACGCACGCACGCACGCACGCACGCACGCACGCACGCACGCACGCACGCACCACGCACGCACACGCACGCGCGCACACACACACACACACACACACACGCACACAACTCCTTGTCCACCCCTTCAATCCCCGTATCCTCCAGCGTACCCTGTTCCTCCTCCCAATCCGAAGGCGGGGGCCCCAGATGCCGCCGACGCCCCCGCACCAGCTGGCGGCGCAGCCGCCGAAGGCGCGGCCAGGGGGCACACCGCGCCTTCGTGCGAAGCAGCTTCCTCCCCATCATCATCCTCCCCCTACCAATTCTCCCCATCATCCTCTTCCTTCCCCTCTTCCTTCTCATCCTCCTATTCCTTCTCATCCTCCTATGCCGTCGCATCCTCAGATTCCTCCTCACCCATGCTCCTTCTCCTCCTCCTCCTCCTCCTCTTCCTCCTCATCCTCCTTCTCCTCGTCATCATCATCATCAGCATCCTCATCCCTGCCTGATACCCCTTCGCCGTGCCTCATCCCCCTCCTGATGTTTCTCGTGGTCCTCCTCCTCCACTTCCTCGTCTTCCCCTCCCCATTCTTCTTACTTTGACTCAGCAGCTTCATCGTCATTGTCCTTATCATCGTCCTCTTCCTCCTTATCCTCATCCTCATCCTCATCCCCACCTTGCTTATTGCGGGTCACGAAGAGCAACATCATATCCCTCCCTCCACGTCCTCCCTTCCTCCCTCCGTCCCCGCCCCTCCCCACCCCCCCCCCTTCCACTCCACCTCCTAAGCTTTTCTATGTCTCGTGTTTCTCCCCCCTTGCCTCGGCTCCTGAGCCTCCGAAGGTGCGGCGGCTGAAGAGGCGACTGGGGGTGCGGCTGGAGAGGCGTTGGAAGCGGACCTTTCCGACATTCGCGAGCAAGCCGCGGTGGCGATAGGCGGCGAGTGAGTTGCGCGCCTCCTCCTCCTCCTCCTCCTCCTCCTCCTCCTCCTCCTCCTCCTCCTCCTCCGCCTCCTCTTCCTCCTCGTCCTCATCCGCTTCCTCGTCTGCTTCCTCCTCTTTCTCTTCCTCCTCCTCGTCCTCCTCCTCCGCCTCCCCTCCACCACCATATTCTTCATCGTCATCATCATCAACATCGTCATCATCATCATCAGCAGCAGCTGCATTATCAGTAGCATCATCAGCCGCAGCAGCATCAGCATCACCATCGTCGTCGACGTCGTTGTTGTCAGCATCAGCATTACCATCATCATCATCATCATCATCATCATCATCATCATCATCATCATCATCATCGTCACCAACAGCATCGTTATCATTCGCCCCTGACCCTCCTCTTCACCCTTGATCATTATCATGTTGCTCCCCCTCGTTATACTCACAGCACATTATATCCTCATCATGTCCATAATCCTCTTCATCCTTCGTTTGTCTTCCTGGCCGTAAATGTTTTCCTTGTCTATAGTTATCATTCCTCTCTCTATCTCTCTCTTTATTTCGTCCTGTCCCTATCTCTCTCTCTCTCTCTCTCTCTCTTTCTTCTCGTTCTCTTGTTCTGTATATCTTTCGTCTCTCCCTCTCTCGCGCGTCCTCCTTCTCCGCAGTCCTCATCATCCTCCCTCATCGTCATCCCTCCTCTTCCCCTCCTACCCTCCCCCTCTCTCTCCCCTCCTGCCCATCCTCCTCCTTCCCTCCTCCCTCTCCTCATCATGATATATGCTTCTCCTTCCCTCCGTCATCCTCCGCCACCGCTTCCGCATCCGTAGTCATCGCCATCTTAATTCAAGCGATGTGTTGTGTGCCCCCCAGGCATATCGGTATGCGGCACTGGTGCCCTGTCTTGTGCAAAGCCCGAAAGAGGTATTTGTGCAGACGGTGGCTCGTGGCGTATCTACAGGCGGTAGTCGGTATTGAGATGTGGTACACCAGCCCTGCCGCACACGAGACCAGCGACACTCAGGGTGCTAAGGTCCACATCGAGTGTCGAGGTCGAGCCAGCTGTCGTGGTGGAAGGGGTGCAGCACGTCGAGAAAATCGTTGATGTCGAAGATGCCATCGAGAAGGAAGAAGACATGCCCATGAATGAGTAGGATGAGGAGGCGGAGGAGATGGTTCCACTGTCCGCACTGACCAGAACAGAGATATAGAATGGCAAGGGAGCAGAAGAGGCAGAACTAGAGTATGAAGAGAATATGGTGCATTTCGAGCAAGTCTTGAGGAGAGCCCAACGTAACAAGGTCCGCTATCATCTGTATGTCACCCGCCGTGTACGCCGTGGAAGCCGCGGAGGTGCAGAAGCGCATGGCATTCAGGGCTTGCAGCCAGGTCAAAGAGCGCATCGGCAAGTTTGTCGGCAAGTGCAGCGTGATCACCCGCACTGCGCAAATCGATCACAGGCTAGATTGGCTACGTTCTGTCTTCCGGCCAGAAGAACACAGCTACAAGCAAGCAGCACAGCGGTGAGATTGCGAAGGGTAGCTAGGAATCGAATCCACGTTTTTCTGATTGTGTTGTGTAGCGCACACGTGTCGGTCGTCGCCCTGGCGGTCGCACAGCCTTTGTCGCTCGCGCTCACAGTGGATAGGCTCGCCGTTGTTGGTGTCCTCGTCGCCATGGTCGTGCGGGCGGGCGTCGTCGTGGGACGAGGTGCCAACGTCGTCGTGGTCGTCGTCGCCGGCGCAGTTGGCGTCGTCCCTGGTGCCGTCGGGTCGGCTGTCAGGCATGATTTGGAGTAGGTCGTGGGAACACTTGTCGGGAAAACGTTCGGGTAGATCGCCAGTGTGGCCGTCGGTAGGTCTTTTGGCTCGCGTCTTCCGCATAGCCGTGGTCGTCGTCGCCTAGGCGGCCGTGTAAATGTTGTCGTGTTCCCTGTCGTCGTGGTCATGGGTCGGCTCGGTGTCGTCGTCGCGAGTGTCGGGGCAGTCGTCGAGCGACCGGGGCGGTCGGCGCGGGGCGTTTGTTTCACACACGTAGAACTTGCTGGCGAAACAACGCTGCTGGCTAGGACGTTGTTTTCGTTGACGCGCATGGCGCTCATCCTCTGGGAAGCCTTAGCGAAGCAGGGCTAATGCTGCCTCCAACAAAATGCAACGCGCAGACAAACCGGAGTGCCGGTGTGATGCACGGAGGCGTTGTTTTAGACGGTGGTTTTTGTGTCGATGTTTTGCCAGAAAGGAACAACCTTGAAGTTGGGAAGTTGCGTTCTGTTCGTTTGACGTCACCAGAGTGGAGATTGAGCACAGAACTGGTATCTTTTGGAGGAACTTCTGGACAATGAAGCTGCATGCCATGATCCAGAATTCGTTTGTCTTCAACCGGCTGAAGCTATTCGACTCTTCGGTTGGGGACTGCATACTGTACGGGGCGTATTCATGGACGCCGAGAACTCTAGAACACAGCGCAATCAAGTCCATCCAAAACAACATGTTGCGCGGCATATGCGATTTTCGGCGAGCATCTGACGAGCCGTGGCACGACTGGATCGTTCGCACGACGCACACATGTAGGTTGCTGGCAAAATGCGCTGACATACCGGAGTGGGTGCAGGCATAGGCGAGACAGGAATGGTTTTGGGCAGGCCACGTGGCAGGGATGCCAGCGACATTGTGGGCATGGCGCGCAACTTTTTTGAGAGACAGTGAATTGACACAGGCCACGCGGGACGAGAGCACCCAGGAAAAGCGGCCGTCCAGACGGCGTTAGATGCAACGCAAGCGGGGATGCGGCGGTGGGCCCGCGCAGCGGCGAATTCATTGGGTTTCGCACGCTAAAGTATTCCAGCGATTCGTCGAAGAACGAGGACAGCGATGTTCTTGTTGGACATCCTGCCCCCCGCGGGGCCTTTTCGGAGCCAGGCATTGTTCGCTTCACTTCGTAGCCGTTGGAAGCATCGCCCGCGAAGCTGCAGACCACGTTGCGATATGTGCAGCGGAGGCCGCAGGAGGCTCCCGCACCTGCCTCTGGCTCCCCAGTCCCTCCCTCGGGGGACGTCCGCGGCCACAGGGGCCGAGAAGTTTCATTGTCCTGCTGCCCCCCAAGGAGCCCTGCGATGGCGCACCTCTGGGCGGTGTGGGTGCTTGAAGGCTGGTTGGCCTGGCCACCTTTGGCTGGACTGTGCTGGTCGGAGTTGCTGCTATTCTAGTGCGGGCACCCCTGGTTGATCCAATGGGGTCGTTCTTTCCGCCGTACTGGTTCCAGGAGGTGTCATTGTTCCAGCCTCCGCGATGGCTTCAGCAGTGGTCGGTGTTCCAGCCGTTCTGGCAGCCTCGGTTCGACCCGTTCTTGTTGTCGTAGTTGCCGAGTCATGTTTGTCATGGCTAAAGTTGTCGTAGCCGCTGCCGTTGGCCCTCAGGTGGCTCCAGAGCTGGCCGTCGCTGTTGGAGGCAATGTGACAAAAGCCCACAGGACGCGCAAGCACTGCAGCGTCAGCCCCAGCAAGTTCCCTACCTCCTCCTCCTCATCCTCCTCCTCCTTCTCCTCCTCACTCCCTTAGTCCTCGTCCTCATCATCCTCGTCCGCTGGCCTTGTCGGGGCGCACTTCCCCAGCCTCCAGACCGAGGATGTCTGGCAGATGTGGAAGTCGGAGGATCCGCCGCGAGGCAGGCGGGTACGCCTCGTAGCACATGTGTTTAACTTGCAGAGTTTCTTCTGGTTTGGTGGCGCCCTTTCCTCCCTCTCCCATCCCTCCCTCCTGCCTCCTCCCTCCTCACCCGCCTGCTCCTCCGCGTGTTCATCTTCACCCTCCTCCTCCTCCTCATCATCATCATCATCATCATCATCATCATCAAATTCCTTTTCTTCTTCATCGCCATCTACCAGATGTGTCAGTAGGGCGGGGCAGGCGGGGCACTTGAACATCCCACACCGTTTATGATATTGAAGTTTGGCACGTCCAAACAGATACACAGATGAAGGGCGCATCGTTTTCAAACGTGGCTCTCGCTTCAGTCCCACGCACGTTCCTATTGAAGGCTCCAACCAGCTACACGGATAGAGGGCGGGCCAATGTCAAAATGAAGTGGTCGCATCAGCGCCGCACACAGTTGTTGAAAAGCTTCCAATGGATACAATGCTTACCAGCGCTGACCCAGCACAGTACGTTGTTGCACTGTGGATGTGCATGCTATGTGGTGGAAAATGTGTTGAGCAAGTTATGCGGAGCAAGTTATGCGGTGCAAGCTACGTGGCGCAAGCTACACTTTGCAAGCTATGTGGTGGAAGCTGTGCGGTGGTTTGCTATGTGGTGTAAGCTGTGCGGCGGAAGCTACGCGGTGCAAGCTATGCGGTGCCGAGTGTGCGGTGTAGGCTGCGCACCCAGCGCACGAGGCAGCCGCCACGGGCGAGCACCAGTCGAAACCTCGGTTCACCCACCCAGCACAGCAGGCGCCCATGCGGCGCCCACGGGCGGGGACCAGGCGAAACTTCAGCGCACCCGCCCAGCGCGCGGGGCGCCCACGATGCGCCCACGGGCCCGGCACACATCCCCCCGACCACTTGGGAACGCGAGCAAGAACCCTTGGTGCAAGCACGCTTGGAGGAGAGGTGGAGGGCAGGTGATTTTCAAACTGTGCATGTCGCTCCAGTCCCGTGCACATTCGTCCCATAAGCCTGCGACAACTACAAAGATGGAGGGTGGGTCGTTTTCTGAATGCGCCCTCACTCGAGATCGCAAGCTTTACACATGCTCTTAAGTGTAGAGTCGTGGAACTGCTGTTCGGACGGAAGGCGGCTCGCTGTCAACACGAGATGAACCACTACGTGAGACCGCATCAAACCCTTGTAGCCATGAGGGAAAACACGTGGAACGATTAGATTAATGGCGGTTCATGTTCAGAATGGGGTTTTCACATGAGGCTTCGGCAAAGTATATTACCACTGGTTTCCATTTGCGCTACAGTCACACCGATCGCAGGCATAACCTTTTCAAACAAGAGCTCTCGCTAGACACGTCCGGAGTTTTCTGTTCATACCTGCTCGCACGAGAGCTAGAAGGATGCGAGGCAGTCCGGC